TGCTTTCTGTGCTTTCAGTTACCTGCAGTCGACTGTGGTCAAAAAATATTATATAAAAATTCCCGAAGTAAATAATTCATAAGTTTTAAATTGCACACTGTTCTGAGGAGCATGATGAATCTCACACCATCCTGCTCGGTCCCATCTGGGATGTGAATCAACCCTTTGTCCAGTGCATCCCTGCTGTACATGCTACCTGCTTGTCAGTTACTTAGTAGCCAAGGGAGAGACCACATTCACGTAACTTTTATTACAGTACAAGGGTACTTCCAAAAGTTCATGGAAAAATAGAATTAAAAGATAATACAAATCCTTCCATAAACTTTTGGAAGTACCCTCGTATATTTTTATAATTGTTCTATTTTACTATCAGTTACTGTTGTTAATCTCTTACTGTGCCTAATTTATACCTTAAACTTAATCATAGGTGTGTGTGCATAGGAAAGAGATAATATATATAGGAGTTAGTGCTATCTGCAGTTTCAGGCCTCCACTGGATGTCTTGAAACAGATCCCCTGAAGATACGGGGGACTACCTTGTCCTGCAACCTTGCTATGGTCACCCATTAGTTTTGTTTTTTGGTAGTAGATTCTTTAGGATAGTCTACATAGACAGTCTTGTCATCTGTGAACCAAGACAGTTTTATTTCTTCTTTCCAAATCTGTATAGCTTATTTTCCCTTCTTATGTCTTATTGCATCAGCTAGGACTTCTAGTATGATGTTGAACAGGAGTAATGAGAGGGGACATTCTTGCCTTATTCCTGATCCAGTTTCTCATCATGAGTATGATATTAGATGTGTGTTTCTTTTTCCTTTTTTTTTTTTTTTGTAGATGTTCTTTATTAAGTTGAGGAAGTTCCTCTCTGTTCCTCTAGTTTGCTAAGAATTTTGACCACGTACAGGGACAGAGTTTCAGTGGGAGATGAAAGAATTCTGGAGATGGATGGTGGTGATGGTGGTACAACTATGTGAATGTGCTTACTGTCACTCAACTGTGCACTTAAAAATGGTTGAAATGATAACTTCTATGTATATTTTACCATAATAAAAACTTAAGAAAGCTACTGGAACCCAAGGAAGCCTCAGTACTGTACTTTGAAGATGACAACATGGCCTTCCTCACCTGGCTCTGGCCACTTGCTGCCCCTCAGACACACAGGTGCGCCCCTGCTGCAGGCCTCTTCTGCATGATCATCCCTCTGCCTAGAGACTCCTCCAGATATGCCAACCACAAGTGGACAGTTGCCAGGGGAAGGATGTTTGGGCAGGAGGACACTAAAGACACATTGAGAAAACTCCCTGTTGCAGGGCGTGGGAGGAGGCTGGGGGAGGGTGAGGAGCAGCAGTTGGATTCTAGTCCACCTTCCTGTGCTTACTACTAGCTGTGTGGCTCCAGTTAACCTCTCAGAGCCTCGGTTTCCTCATCTGTAAAATGGAGTTGTCAAAGCCCTCCTGCCACGGGCCACCAGGAACACACTTATAGTTGAATGAATTGGTGTTATTACTCATTGCAGTGAGGGGAATGCACCCCTAGAAAAACTTACTAAGGGATGTGGCTTGCGTTGGGTGATGTTGTGGCGGCAGTTCTCTGACTGGACATCTGTGTAAATGTTATCTGTGGGAAGGCCAGGGCAGAGAGAGGCTCAGCTGTAGCTGGTGGAAGAGCAGGGGTCATTGCTTCTCACCCAGAGAGGACATGTCTGGGACTTTGTAGGTGGAACAGTGTCCTTGCTCTAGTCTGTGCTTAGAAAAAATTGTGATGTAGACTCGTTTTATCTCCCTGTATCACAATGTGCTCCTCTATGAGATTGTTTGTGTCCAATGTTCATGTTTGTGGCCTCACTGTGAATGCCAGGCCAGTTCCCAATGTCAGGAGGTCATAGTAGTACCCACTTCATGGAAGTAACCCGTGTAAAGTGCTTAGCATGACATTCTATGAAGATTAATGCTGATGGTAGTGGGAGCGGATGTGGAGCGGAGTGGGGGAAGCCATCCCAGAGAACCAAGCAAATGGGTCTGAAGGGAATGTCTGAAGACAGCAGTGATGTCATCACATTGTGTTTTAGGAGGACCACTCAGCAGAGCCCAGGGAGGGGTGGGGTGGGTGGTGAGAGGTGAGAGAAGCAGGGGCAGAGCAGGGTGGGTTGTACGGAGGTGGTGTCCCCTGACATTGGACAGGCGGTCAAGGATGGCTCCAGGGCCTCGGTAATTTGAAGTGGTCACAGATAACCACAGTGTCTCAGGTAGGAAGGATGCTGAACCAGCGTGAAGATCGTGAGGCTGGTGGGGTCAGGGCTATAGATCAAGAAAGAAAGCAAGCTCTCCCTGGGACCATGGAAGATGGTGAAGCCTCCGATCTTTGCTTTTCAAACTCTGCCTCCAAGTGGAGCTCCAGGGTCTGGGGAGGAATATGGGGGCAGGAGGGAGGTGGGGAGGGGTGACCCAGGCCGCCTCCTCCACAGCAGCGATACTTGTACCTATTGTCTATATGGGGTGGCTTATAAGACTGTAATTGAAGGAAAGGTTCTGCTGCTAAAAACCCATTGGAAAAACCCCATGTGATGTTTGGGTTGAAGCGAAGGGAAGAACGGGCAGTTTCACAAAGCTTGTTGGGTGGGCCGGGCAGGTGGTCCACAAAGGGCTCTGCTGCATCAAGGTGGCAGAGCAGGGGATGCCCCGGTGGCCGTGGGTGGTGTGTGGGGGAGGGCAGCAGCGAGGACAGCACTAGCCCTGAAATCAGCACCCAGTGGACCAAAACACAGAGCCACAAAGTCCTTTTCTAGATGCAGAATGACCCGGACAGATGGAAGAGAATGGCCGTCGGCCAGCAAAGGCATCTCAGATCAGTCTCACAGGGAGGGCTCATCAGGCAGCCTATGCAGGGTCCATCCACCCGGCCCAGCACACCCTGAAGCCTGCCCCGGCACGCACGACTCCCCTGCCTCCGCGGTCAGGGCTGCCTTCAACCCTCTGCGGCTTGCCTCCGCTGAAGCATCCCGCAGGCCACCCAAGCGTAGGTCAGTCTTCTTCACCAGAGCAGCCCTGACCCGCCTTGAGACGACCGCTTGAAGTGGACACACCCTTACGCAGCACCTGTGGTGTGGAGCTGCACGTGCACACGCTAGGTCTGCAGGACCTGGAACCACATCCTTCTCTCCCCAGCACACGGCCCTCCGCATGCTGTCTACAGAACGTCTTGTCACTGTCCAGACATCCTCGCTTTCCCCTCCTCCTCCCGTGGAGCTAGGAGCTCACACCTGCATGGTATTCCTCTCTTCGTCTGCATATCACTCACGCTCCTATTCACGTCGTCCAAAAGGAGTTCTCTTGGCGTTGTAGGTCCCGAGGAGATTTCAGTGGTCTGCTCCCCTCCCGAACTCCACCCTCCGTCAGGAACCCCAGCCCTGCAATAGCAGCTCTCACGTCCCGCCCCGCACGGCGACGCCCACGCACCCCGACTCGGCTGCCCCGGCCTGCAGCCACTGGCCCTGCTCTTGGCACGGCCGCACCCTTCCCGTCCCGCGCGTCTTAGCCCCAATGTCGCTGCCGCGTCCCCCTGCCCCGGGGTCCCCCCGCCAGTTACAGACTTCTTTCCCATTTCGGCTCATCCGCCGGCCCCTCCCGTGTCACTTCCACTGGCGTGCGCGCGGCTGGCTCCGGGCACGCCA